GATTTTTCATGAAGCCGCTTTAACCAGAGGAACGATGTCTTAAAAAAAACACTTGATCTAACAAGACTTGCAATGAAATTGTGAGAACTGGCAACATTGCCTTTGCTGTTTTAATAACACTGAAGAAGCTCCGCTTAATTGTTCTTACATATGCACATAAATACTTGTGTCATCTATGTTTTATGTTCCCCTCTCTTTTTTTCCTTACTAAAGAATACTGCGGTATAATTAGCAATTTAAAGCCAATTCTTTTTCTGTCTAACATTAGGATGTAATGTTCAATCTGTACAGGAATAGAAACAAAAAGGGCTCTACTAAATCAGGTGCATAATTTGAAATTAAAAACCTGGTTGAACTGATGCATCCAGGGATCTATACATTTGTATTTCTTTGCTTTGGGTTTCAGATCAATAAACTCTGTACAGCTGGGGCTTTCTTCTGTTTCTGAATGTGTGTTTTGCTAAGCCCTTGAAACTGAACCCTAAGAGAGGCTTGAAACGGATTGAGCTCCTGGCTGGTTCTGATTTTTTATTCAATCCAGTGCTCTCCTCCCCTGCTCCCCAGGCCAGATCTCCTCCTGCTGCAGAATATGTGGGAGCAGATGGGTGAGAGAGACTGCATGAAGTCCTGTTTTTCTGAATGTTTTTCCCCTAATTGTTTCATTGGCTCAGAGGATCTTGGGGGGACTGGCTGAAAGCCAGGACCATCTGCATAGAGGCCCTGTGCTTTTGCGTTGGCTGTATGGTCCTTTAGCTCCTGTAATTCTTTGGCAGCTCTCCTCCTATGAAGCCACATTGAGAGGTCTTCTCCTGCTGGGTGTTGTGCCCTGGCATCGCTATAACAAGAGTCATTGTCCTCAAACTGTTGGGTCCAGCAGTAGTCGCACAGAGAGGGCTGCCTCTTACAGTCAGCATTTGTAAATGCTGGCCTATCCCAAACGACTAAAAGCAACAAGCTGTCTTTCTGTTGAAGAGATCATTGCGTCAAACCTTGGCAATCTGTGGTTTCCTCAAGATTTTATCACAAAGGTCTAATGAAGGATTTCTAGAGAGCTCAACTTGGAGGGGAAACGGCCTGGTCTCAGTTCAAGACGCCCACACAACTTCTAGTAGCAACAGGGCCACAAACCCAATGTGAAGAAAACAGGCTATCCTGAGCATGGGTGCTTTGTTTGGGTTTAGTCCTCGTTGCAAGAAAACACAAGCGGGACTCTTGGGTAGGTGGAGACTGAGCAGAGAGGCTGTAATTCTTCCTGGGCCTTATACTGACTCCAAAAGAGCTAGGAAGAAATAAGAACCTTCTTATTTCCTTTACCGTTTTTTGCAACTACATAAGGGCCAGTAAAAACACAGTGGAAAGTCCTGATTGACCCATCGTGTCATTGTCATTCTTATTTAAAAGCAAATACTTAAGTGCATAGCAGAAGCCAACCCTCTTAAGACCAAAGGGAAGGTACTAAATTCACTGAAACTTAAGAATGGTTTTATATTCTTTGCATGGGGAGACCTAGGATTTAGTAAAGGGAGGTGCAGCACAGCTCACCGCTCCTCAGACCATAGGAGGGATGAGGGCAAAGCAAAGCTGGAGCCCTCAGGCTGGTGGGGGATAACAGGGTGCCAGGCAGGGAACCAGGCACCAAGTGGAGAGGGACCCTAGCCCCTGCCATTACACCGCTGCCCCACGCCGCTACGTGCTCTGGGTATTGGGGGGAGCCCCAGAACCACCCCTACCCCGCTTCACCCAGGAGGTGTAGGAAATGGCTGTGCAGGGTGTTGGGTTCAGCTGGAGACAGCAGTGGCAGCACACAGGTTCCTCCTTCCTATGCTGCCTGCTCCCGTCTTCTCCCTTTAGCATCCCCTGCTTGCCAGGAAGATAGCATTGAAAGAAGTGCCTTTAAGCACCTGCTCTCAGTCAGCGCGGGGACCTGAACAGGAGGAGTGAAAACCAGTCTGCTGCTGACACTGGCCCCTGGCACCCCACATAGCTGCTTCCTGCAGCTCGCAGCTGGAGTGGGACAGGAGTGGCTCTGGGGTTCCCACCATGCCAGGACTGGTGGCACTGGAAAAGGGGTGCAACCACACTGCTGCACCCACTGCATCTGCCCCTGACTCTGGTAAATAGGGATGGATTAAGCAGGTGTTTTAAAGTTAAGCATAGACTTCACACGCTTTGCTGGATCTGAGTTAAGTGTTTAGAAAATAGATACTGTATAAATAAGAGAATAAGGTTCTCCTAAGAGGGATGTAAAATGTATGTGATTTGGCAAAGCTGAAGAGCGGGGTTTCCTATTCTACCCATCTTTAATGGTGCTTAAGAAATGGTACTTTCAAGAGCACTCTCTGAACCTGTCACCCATCCCGAATGTAGCTCCTCAAAAGTGATATTTAGCTTTAAAAAAAATAAAAAGAACAAACCACTTCTGCCACCAGCAACAATACAGAGTGGCCAACAGCATCAGTGTTAACGGATTACTTATTTTTGGATTGGAAGTGATGTAAGCAAGTAAAAGTTCTCTTTCATCCATTGAGTTTCTCTTGCTGCCTTTGGCTTGTTTCTTTTGTTTTTAAACTCCAACCAGGATTTAAGTTAAAGAGAGTAAGCCCTAATATCTGGTTGATTTTTGGGTGACAAAACTTTAGATACCTAATATGGACTCAGTTGTTACCAAGTGCTCCATATCTGGAAAAAAACTCTACTCTTGAAGACCGTTCAGGTTCAAGAACAACTACTGTTGTCGACGCCAGGATTCCAGTAGGATTCGTCCAGAATAGATATCCAAGTGTTCCTTTTATCATAGTCCAATGTCTTTTATTAAACTCTTTACATCTAAAACACAAAGCCAACTCAAAAAAAAGTCTTTGGAAACGGTCTGTGGTTCTATTATATCCTGTACAAACACCTTGCGATCCTTATAGTTACAGTTATCACAGGAGGGAAGTGGCGGGGACTAAAATGCAGCAAATTGCCTTATTGTATAAAAGTTTGCATTGGAGGCAGCACAAGAAACTGTAAAATGTAAATCGTGTGCTCTCACATTTACCCGTGTTCTCACAGAACTGCATCTGTGACTGCGCAGCACTACAAAAATTTCCTGCGAGTGTGCTAATAGGCCTTATGAGAATGTTCTATAACCATCCATCTGTCACTTTTTAACAGGCCTGATTGGCAAGCACTTGTAACAACTGACATCTGTTCTTGCTTATTGATATGTAGATTTATGGTAATTGCTGTGAACAATAAGACACAAAATTACCTAAGGTGAACATTAAATTAAATTTTCATGCCCCTATCCTTATAAATAATTTTTTTTTTTAAATCTTAAGTTTCAAGCAGGCATATTGTGCATCTGTTTTGTACATAATTTAATTGTTTTTTAAATCTGCCAAGTAGCAAAATGAAAGTTGAGTTCTTCGCCGTCCTGAATATTTGCCAAGCTGATAGCATATTGGTAAATATGCATTATTAAAAATGGAATGCGATTGAATGGTAGGCCTGTTTTTTATTTTTTTTTATTTTTAGTCTTTCTACTTACATTCCCAACATTTTCTCCATTCTGAATATCAAGAGTTATTTCTTACCCAGAA